ATATTATACACTTATAAGGAATAACTGCTTCGCCTAATTTCGGAGAGCAATACTTTTCAAATGTCACAGCATGCTAAAAATTACTGCCAACTTTTTTTTAATAATGAACGATCGTGCCAAATGGAAGAATCGTGTTCCCAGTTATATTGCGGACGCTCCCCGACTGAAAACAATATCATCTCTTTTGTGTCGGTATCAAATGGCACTAGTGTGATAATGGTACTTGTCAAAACTATTGTCACTAGTGTGATCAATCTTATGGCTGAATATTCAGCATATTTGCAATCAGAAGCGATTTAGCGCAAACAACAAAAATTATCAAGCCGTAAAAAATGTGGTCTTAACATGTACCCAGTTAAATTTCAAATAAAACCTAATCAAGTATTTGCTATGCCTATTACAGACAATTCCAGTGAATTAGCTCATGAAGCTCAAGCTGAAAATATGTTTCTTATCTAAGATGTATGAGGCTAGGTGAACAACCGAACCATCTCCTCCAATTCTGAAGCATTTATTAGTCCCCCTCTCCACTCCACCAAACTTCGACATTTGCATATTCCTACACTTTATAGAGTGCTGGTTAGCATAGCAGCATTCATCTAAACTTTAAATGTTTTAAACGAGTTTTGATAAAGCCACGAGAAGCCACTATTTCAGTATTGTAAATAAAAGACCACAGTTTTGTCGATTAAAACAATATTAGGTATACATACTCCAAATCGGTACGGGAAAACTTTTAAGATAGATACCGATCACTAAGCTCTTTTGAGCGCCCTAAATGCATTAGAGAAATCAAAGACGGTAAAATCAAGGCTTACCAGATGGATCGATCAATATTTACCCTTCAATTTCGATTACAAACATTTGGAGGGAAAAAAGATTGTCTTAATTGACTAATTTTTAAGGAACCCAGTGAGTCCGGCGCTACCAGCGTCCAATTATGATGAAGAATTTGCGATAGCAAAAACTACGGCTTTCATTTCAAAGCTAGAAAACTTGGACAACATAGTGCTAAATGATTTAGCCAATAGGAGGCGAGCGCTTGTATTTTTTGATTGATCAGCGAAACACACGCCGAAAACAAACTGACGTCGTCCTAAAAAGAGTTCAAATCATTCGCTAGCTATTTTCAAAACTTACAAAGTTCAAACTAAAATACCAGAGAAAAAACACACAAACTCGTTTAGCTGTTCATCCTTAAATAAATGACCAGACAAGGCGATATTCCCGGAAGCGTACAACCGGCTCAGGGGAACCACAAGACCGAGCAGAAGAAAACAGAAAAAGAGAGTATTCGATCTGGACGACGAGGACGGGCAAACTAAGAACAAATAAAAACCAGACTAACTTTAACCAAACCGATGGAGGTACCAGAACAATGGCGCACAGACGCAAGCGACAAGCAAAGAGGTAGAAACGCAAACAGAGGAAATGGAAACAGAATCGAGAAAACATGGATATATACCCCATAGATAACAGTTTGAGAATACTTGATGCACTTTGTGGGACTGGGAATCCATAAAAAGACCATGCGGCCAATACATCTTTCACATCCATCACTGATTCAGCGTGCGCGACTAGTGTTTGGAATTGGACGACCGAGTGGTCATACCAACTCAACTGAGAGATACGGTGCTTGAGAGCTTTCATCGTACACACCCGGGGACGAATGACATGCTCGACATCTGGTTCCTGCACATACACAGGGCCATCGTTTCCATGGGATAGAACTGCAAGGACTGCAGAGAACAAGTTGAAACTTTAGGTTGCTAAGAGGAAATGACATCACGCAAGCTTGGATAGGGTGGTATAAACAAAAACGAAGTCCAATTGGACTACGCAGGCCCCATGCAAGGTGAGTTGAATTAGGATGCAAATAAATTGGCAGCAATTGTTAGATTTTCAATGTACCCAAACACAAAGATAGTATCCAAAACCACTGCAGTCACTGTAACCAAATTTTTGCAAAGTATTAATTTGCGAGGAGGGTCAGGTGTAACCAAGCACAAAAATTCAAGTGATATTGTAAAGATAAAAACATTAAATTACTGTTTGCATCAGTAGACAACCAAAGAGTAATAGGCCTCTTAGAATGCTTTATCCAAAAATTGAAAACACGATTAGGGGTAATAAGAATTGATCCAAGAGTACACTTTACTCAAAAACACTTAGAAGAACTTCACTCGCAGGGACTAAGCTATCATCATTCGCGATGCATATGGGAAGCACACCCAACATTGTAACGTCTAACCTAGCCACGACAAGCAACCAAAACAATCTGAGTTGGGATAACGTCAGTGTCTAATAATTTAGATAAGAGGAATCTGAAAAGAGCACCACTCACACGGAACAGATACACGAAACGGATTTTTGGTCCGAAGATGAAGTGACCATTTAACGAAGGACACCAAGTGACCGACACCCTGAAAAAATCAATCTAGATGGCGACATGACAGAAGATTCAAAAATTAAATTACCGCAATCACAAATCCGTTGAAAGCTATAGGGAGTGGAATCAGTGCCAATTAAAAACTTAAATGAAAAAATTAGGAGGGTAGCTCGAAAAACGGTTTAAAATTGCTCAAATAGTTAAGAACCCAAACCAGTAGTAACAAAATTATAAATACAGTAGGGGAAATCCTAAAACACACCTCGCCTACAGCGTGGGTGAAAGCATTTCAAGACCATTAAAAACAGTGGACTTGCATTTATACCTAAATCAAAGATATACAAAACTGTAGACCAACACAACTAAGTGACTTCGTAGCATATAGGTCGGGAAGACGTAATAAAAGTCACCGGCACACCCTAGGTTTGTAGAAACAGAAACGTCAAAGGGGCAATATAAGAGAATCGGCATCAAGGAGCCGAAACGACAGGAACCAGTCAAAACCCTAGGTACAGGGCACCAGTAGGCAAGCCGTAACCATCAAAAAATAAACTCCACTGCAACTTGGAAAACGAACCTAAGGGCTCCCCAGAAATCGAGAAAAGCAAGTCGTGATACCAGTATCATTGGCGTCAGACTCCGAAATCTCATCGTCATCGCAAGAAGCGCAAGTACTGGAACCAGCGAAAAAGAAAAGAGACACCAAGAAGACAGCGCCTTCAACCAGAGCTTCCACAGGACAACGAACCGGCACACTAAGCGTCAAACTTGAGAACCCAAATTCGATCTTGAAAGTGGGCCATTCAAAATTGAAAACAACGCCACACCCAAAAGCAAGCCAAGAGGAACGGTCATCGAAGGATCTAGTTGGGGATGGGGCAATAGTTGGGGATGGTGAATTCAAGAAGCAGAACTGACCAATGAGAGGTAACGGCATGCCTGGAGTTTTTAAAAAAACTGGACAAACAACCAACAGCTGCAACTGGAGGTGGTGAAAATCTCATCAAGTAGTGAATCAAGCGGGGGTGCACAAAGAAAAGATGAGACGACCAAAGAAACACACACAGAAGACAAAAGAGACACGGCTCAAAAGAAGAGAGGACAGTCAAGTATCGAGGAGCCAAGACCACAACTTTGATGAAAAAACAGAGGAGAGGAAAAAGGGAGTCTAATTCCAAGTAAAACTAATTTTAACAAACTTTTAACAAAGGTAATCGGGAACTCGGATTATGCATATATATATAACCTTATATAACCTTTTAATTGTATAGCCATACTACAAGCTATACCTTTTGTGTTATACTGTTTTGCCTTGAAGGCCATTAGTAAACGTTGACCTCGACGGCGCCAGAGAAAATGTGAATACGTCTTCTCATGTGCGAGACCCTTGCCCACTATTTGATATACGCTTATCAGTATCAATAGACCTTAGTATCGCACCTTTTATACCTTGAGACTAGAACTAGTTACGTAGCCGAACCTCCATACGGAGAAGTATTCCGGACGCCGCACGTCGAACAACAACATGTTATAACACTGAGACTGATCCTCTATGAACTCAACAGTAATCCGCAGTGAGTTCGATACATCATGGTATTATTATGTATATCAAGATCTTCTGCAACAAGAACTGCAGATTAACAGCAAGACTTTTACGCGAAACCATTTCAGTCTCTCTTCTTTTGCGAGTTAAGAATCATGACTAATAGTGTTCTTCGAAATCAACAAAAAAAATAGCTCATGTGAGTTTTGATTAAGTTTCTTCGCATAAACTATTATGCCTAACTTTGTAAGTTCTAAAGTTACTTCATGACTTCACGTGTCTTATCATGTCAATTAATCAACCAAAATGTCCAAAATTTTCCTCCGAATAATTTTTATATAGCTTAAGAAAAATTATTATCAATTTTAAAAAGTGACGTTTTCAAAAAGTTTCAAAATGCGAAATAGTTAAAATAGTGAACTTTTTGATTGGAGGGAAATCAATCGATGTTACTTGAGACGAGTTGCAATACTTACGACTTGAATTGCTTTAATATTTAAAGTAGCAGTGGAAATTCAGTGGAAATGATTATCCATGTTTTTTGTTATATTTCTGTTATGATTGTCCATGTTTTTTGTTATATTTCTGTTATGATTGTCCATGTTTTTTGTTATATTTTTGTTATGATTGTCCATGTTTTTTGTTATATTTTTGTAATGATAGTCCACGTATTTTTTGTCAATTTTTTTGTTCAGTTATATAAAAAATTGTTAGAGGGTTGATGGCTTGATGAATATATCTCTTCGCCTGCTTGTATCACACAGCTTGTATTATGAACTTGTTATTAGGGGATATCGAATTACCAAAGATAGACAAAATCTAGAACATTTGCATATTGATTTAGCTACAAAAAGCATCTAAGTTTCTAAAAGTTTCTAAGTAAAGTAGCAAACTTAAAACAATGAGTCAAGAATTGTGTTCGTCAAAGGATTTTCGGATCATTGATAGTTCTTTACTCGTTTAATCGTAAACGTCAAAATACACTAAAATTGCGATTTTGCAAAACATAATATTTTTGAGGCCTTGAGACAGCATTGCTTAAATTTTGACCTATTTAAATCCTTTCAGCGACGGGAATGGATATTCCGAGTGCGAGTCGTGCCACTCGGGAATGTACAATGATAAGCCCGGCTCCAACACCTGTGAAATGTGTCCCGGCGGAACTTACACTGGAAACTCAACCGGAAGCACTAGCTGCAAGGAGTGTCCAAAAGGATATTTCTGCCCGGTAAGCAAAAAATCACAGTATCGGTGGGGGGGGGGGGGGGGGGGGGAGCTGCAACGAAATTGAAGTAGGTAAAGTGCATGCTACCTCCGCTTTCCACTCAGAAAATGTTGGTTTCCGACCAAGATTCGAGGTCGTTTCTTGAGGTTTAGGCGTAGGCGTTCACTACCTAGCCCAAAAGAATTATTTATGAGGAAAAATTACACTTTTTTTATATGAAGCGCTTAATAATATTTCATTCAGACTGTCAGAACAGACATATTCTTTTCCTGTTCTGTGATTTTCAATGTTGCAGTTACAACCTCAAGAGTGCTTCGGATCATGAAAAACTTAAATATTTTTTAAAAAAGCTGTTTTAGTTTTAGCTATTTAAGGTAATGAATTTTTGGTTTTTAATTTTTAGACAAAAAATGGATCTTGTGCGTGATCTATTTTAAAAAAGATTTAAAAAAGATATTTTTAAATTGCTGTTTTGTCTTTTTATTTGAGGCATGGGTAGACTTTGGAACAATAAAGATCTACAAGATGGAACTTCCCGATTTGAAAAGCCTAAGTCTGGTTTCAAATGGTGGCGGATATTTGCATGCAATTTTAATTGTTTGAAATTATTTGCATAAGTATTGAAAGATCAGCTGAAAAAAGTAGTTTCTGTAACGAGTTTTTCTGATGCATAATTTTCTCCAAATTTCAAAAAAATGAGTTTTGTATCCTCAACATTGAGAATTTTTTTAGTTTAAACATTCAAACATTTCCTCAGAGGTTCGAACTTTGATGTCTCAAGTCCATCAATGAATTTCCTGTACATAATAACATGAATCTTGATACAATAAAACAATAATATCCTCTAGTTTCTCTCTCGCCTTGTTCTCTATCTCTCTCTCTCTCTCTCTCTCTCTCGCTCTCTCTGCCCTTTTCTTTCGCTCTCTCTCCCTCTTTTTTTCTCTCTCTTTTTCTCTCTCTTACTCTTTTTTTTCTCTATCTATCTATCTATCTATCTATCTATCTATCTATCTATCTATCTATCTATCTCTCTATCTATCTATCTATCTATCTATCTATCTATGTATCTATCTATCTATCTATCTATCTATCTATCTTGCTATCTATCCATCTAGCTCTCTATCTATATATTTCTCCTTTCTCTCATTCATGAGTTATGGTTGTGTAAAAGTATCCTAATTCTACATTTTTTTTGGAACATTGATCAGAAAATCAAATAAAATTCTAGTCCAGAATTAAGAAGTTTGTAATCTAGTCCAGACAATTAGGAAAATTGAAAAAGACTCATTTAGCTTTGAGTTTCGCATGAAAAAGAGTAAGCCCATTTACTGTGGCGAGACACAAATATTCAACAAAAAGACTTTTGCAATTTGTTTTTTTGTTACGAGCTGTATTTCGATGCAACGATGCAAGTTCTCGGCGACGATGCAAGTTTTCGATGCAACAACAAATTCTCAGCAGAACTCTTGCCTCGATTGATCAAAAAACTGAATCTGATTTTGCAGTTGTCCTGTGAAAAAATGTACTTTAAACTCTGGGCTGTTACTTGTTATACTGTTGAGCAGGCAGTTCTAGGATTCTCTCGAGGGGGAGGCGGATTTTCAAAAAAAAATCAATTAAATTGGCCGAAATTTTTTTTGATTAACCGAGCTGTTTTCGAGTTGTTTCATTGCACGAAAAATCTTTTTTTTTGGCTCAATTATTGGCGCCACAGGCAATTTTTTGAACATGGCGTTTTTATGCGTTTTTTGCAAAATTTTGAAAAAATTGAGTTTTTTTTGGCGCGCACTCCCCCTTCAAAAAAAAATTAGTATTTACCAGGGCCGAAAAGGCTTTTATAAAATTTTATTGTCAGTCAGCCAAAACTTTTTTTCTCAAAATAGTATAAAGGGGAACCTTGGGGTCGGCCAGGGGTCGGATTCCTGAAGTTGGTGGTGCGTCCGCCGCCACCCCCGGCTCTCCGCCTAAATCCGCTACTGCTATCGAGTGTTTTTAAAAAAGTGTGGAGTGTCTGAGCCATCGTATAAATTGGTAAGAGTTTCACGTTTTTTTCCACCAGTAGTTGCTGTACTTTCATTTTTTAAATGTATGATATGTTCGAGCCATCGTTTTCAAAATGAATGACTACTTTTTTTGTTCACAAGGATTTTTTATCTGATTCCGTTTTATGATAATCCAAAGGTGTCTCAATATTACTACTTCAAGTTCGTTTCGTCCCAAAATTGATTACATAAGAAAATAAAATCGTAAATCAATTTTCAAGTTACAAAAATCCATTTTCACACAGAACTTTTGAAAAAAACAACGAAAAGGCGTTTTTGGGCACTTTTTGGGAAAAATTTGACCGAAAATTGCTTTTTTTTTGGTGAACGTTTGCCCTATCACAATTGTTATTTATGAGCGCCAAAACTGCACATAGAAAAGTTTTAGGGTCCGTCAGCAAAAACTGGATATCTCACAATAGTACAAAAGGGGGACTCTTTGCGTCGATAGGGGGCAGAATTCCTGAAGGGGTTGGGCTTCCGCCCCTTATATCCGCTACTGCTGTAGAGTATTTTCAAAAAAAAAATCTGGAGTGCATAAACCATCTTACGGAGTTTTCAGAGTGTCACTTTTTGTCCACCAGTGGTTGCTATACTTTCGTGTAATTTTTCAAACGCATGGCATGTATGAGCCATCGTAAAAAATTGTATGAATAGCTATTTTTGTCCGAAAGGTTTTCTTATCTTATTCAGGTATTCCAAGTGTGTTTCATCTTTTGCGTTGAAAAATCAAAACTTTAAATTCCATTTTGAACAAATGAGTAGAAGCCAACTTCACACAGTTTCTTTTAGAAATGGTTAATTATCATACTACGGGTTATTTCATAACGTATGAGATGTTTCAGCAAGCTGCCATTTTCTTTTGAAATAGCATATGAAAATGATTTTGCAACTTGAACGTTGAATTGTGGGTTTTGTTTTTTTTTTCTGAAAGAACAATTTTTAACATTCAATGCCAGGTATTTTTTTACGTTTTGTCAATTTTGTCAATTGCTGTCCTTTTTGTCAAGCTTTTTTTAAGCAATTTTTGTGTTTTTCATTATTTTTGCAGCATCAAAAAAAATTAAACATTCAAAGAGCAATACAATACTTTTATTGCTTGCGACTTTCCAGCTATACGTCCAGAGTCGAAATTAAAAGTCATTTTCTCAAAAAATGTGCAATAATGGGACAAGAATGAAACATTATGCAAAACCTATGGGTTTACAAAAACGTGGAAGCGATTTCAAAAGAAGTTTTTCAAGCAGGTCAACAAAGCAAATTGACCAAAATTTCAGTTAAACATTTCCTTGATGTTGTCGAAGCGTTTTTCATTAAAAAATAATCCAGAATCAAACATGGGAGCTTTTTTTAAGAGCTTAGTATCACTTCAAAAGGTCTAGTGGTTTTTGAATCAAGTTTTAAAAATTATCCTGTTCAAAGCTCACAAATTGCACACAAATTCAGACCGCAACTACCAAATGAAAAAAAAAAACGTTTTTCCAGGATATCCTACTCGATGAGCAGTTCTGCTCTTTAGGATTGCACTCCAGACATAAGATAGTGCTTTTGGCATTGTATATGTACATGGTAAAGTAATTCAAATTTCAATTTGATTATGGTTTCAATCACAGAGACCGGATTTCATTTCAATTTTTTGAACAGATGTGTTTTTAAACCGGAGCTCAATGCCTGAAACTAGCGGGTTTGACAAGTTGTAACCCACACAAAATTTTAAACACAAAATGAAAAACAAAATCAAGTTCTGGGTTGGGCTTCTGGAAGGGGCAGTTACAGGTTCATTCTTGTTTAAAAATGAAAACGGGGGAATTATATCAGTCAATCAAATAGTTTATCTAAACGGAAACAAGTGTGGCGCCCTTTGTGAAAACATTGCAAGGTTCCAGTGATATGGCGCAAAATATTATCTTACCATTGCTCTGCAGTTGTTCAGGAAAACTTTTGACAAAATTTTTTTAGTCGTAATGCACAATTTTCAAAAAACACTCTGGGATTCACAAATAACCAATTGACCGAGAAAGTTCAATAAGAGCATTTTATTCAAGTTTGGATTATTTGAAGTTATTTGACATAGAGTTCAAGTAGTTTGACAAATAGCAAATAATTTGAAATACAACTTTCTAGTTTTTTCAAAAGCCACAAGACTCCTCGTATCAGGGCGAAACCCTGAATGTTCCGACTGCCTTTTAAGGTTTATGGAGCAGTAATAACATACAAAAAAACCTAAAAAAATAAAATGAATTTTTTTTTTCTAAAACTTGAATTTTTTTTGAAAATCATCCCCCCACACGCCATATAAAAGACAAAAGGATAGATTTCACGCCTTGTAACAAATCAATTATTGCAAATAAGCTTCTTTCAACCAATTTGGAACGCTTTCTAAGGCGGATTTAATCTCCGCTTACGCGTTAATAGCGCGAAATATATCGCGAGTTAATTGTCCCAAATTGGCCAAAATGGCAATCTTTAAACCCTCATAACTTTACGAAAAATGACCACAGGTTAAATATCTTTTCAAATTTGAGCTCAAGACAAATATAGCTTTTGAATGATATAAAAAAAAATCCGTCAAAAATGGCTAGTTAAAAAAAAACGAAATTTGTCTGAAGAAAAAAAAACCCACCCCGAGCACAAATATTCCGTTACTTTCTTATCGAAAGTCGGAACAACAAGAATATACACTAATGATAAACTGCTAATTGTAATACTCTTATTATTAATTTACAGAAAGTATCTACAATCCTATAATTGAAACCTAGGTAATGTTAAGTAACGACACAGCATTAAAACTCAGATTAAAGAAAAAAAAACATTACAAAACTAAGAGGATCTGGGTAAAAAGAAAATGAATTGAATGTTTTGACAAGGAATCAGAAAAAAATGAACAATTTTGTGCGAGAGAAATTGAAATAATAACACGGAAAATTCTAACTCAGAAACAAAACCTGAATCAATAATGGAAATTTGACTTTTGACTATTCATCTGGATATATGCATACTTAGCATAAAACGAGGTAATTTATTTATCATTTCGTAAAAATGATAAACAGTTTACCAAAAAATTAAGAAAGTTTTATGAGATGATATCTGAATTTTTTGCCTGCCCTTTATCTTTATCGTCTGTACAAATATTTTTATGGAATATTTTAAAAAACCTATTTTTCATAAAATTTTGTAAAATAAAAACAAATATTTTTTCATTTTCACTGAAATTTTCTTCCACACACTACGTAAAGCATAAATGGTAATGTTAATGTTCAAAAACATAAAATGAAATCAAACAAAAATGCTCGTATGCCAGAGCAAAGCACTGGATGTTTCGATTTCTCTTAACATCGAAGGTTAAAACATGAGTAGTTTGAGGAAACAATTTGAATCGGGGGCGTTCAACAGTGCCGAAGTACAACAAAGCCGAAAAAGGCGAAAATTTTCAGAATAATTTACTCGCATTTTTGAAAGAGCGGGAAATTACTGGCGCTAATTATCTAAGAAAATCACTCCAATTTGGGCGCCAAAATGTCTGCAACAGCAAATTAAACAATTAATTTGGCGCCAAAACGTCTAAATTGCAAATTTTCTCTCCCAAAACCTTTAAGTGCCACTTAAGATTGTAAACGATCGCTGTTTAATTTTTGATTGCCGCACTTAATATGTTAAAGTTTGTTCAAATTTTCGGCACTGTTGAACAAAGTTTTCATTTTCGGCACTGTTGAACAAAGTTTTCATTTTCGGCACTGTTGTACTTCGGCACTGTTGTACTACCCCATTTAATCTAATAATTGCCTGATTTCAATTCAGATTAGTTTTGTATGCGGGATAATAATTCGTGTTACTCCGGCTCAAAATGCACTTAGGATTGTCTTTTAAAAACAAGTAGATTACAGGCTCGATTCAATTGTGCAACATTCTTTCAGAGAATGGTCTGAACAAAGAAACCTTCTCGAAAATACAAATTCCTTATTTTTTTTTTCAAAATTTGAATTAGGTTTTGCCTCATTTCAGTATGAAATGGTTTCAGAGCGGGGATAGTACCATATATCAAGCGTTAAAAAAACTAAATTTGCCAAAATTACCTTTTTAAACTTCAAAAACTTTTCAAAACAAAAATAGCGGACTAAATATTTTTTAGTATAAAACAACCACCCTTTAAAAATTAAGGTAAAATTTTGAAGTTCGTCCAGACAAAAAAGGCATCAATGAATCAACGACCAAAAACATTTCATCCTTTCTCCAAAACCCGAAACAGTAATAGGGACTTATTAGCTCGTTATCTTTCAATTTTTTTTCGGTGGGTTTTCATAGCAATTAAACCTCACCATAAATCGGTCCTTTTTTTCCAAAAATGTATATATAGGGTGATAATAAATGATATTTTACAGGGCGGGATTGCATTAACTTTTACAGCTGTTAATTACATCCAAAAACATTTTTTCTGTACGCTCAGTACAAAAATAAACATTATTTGTTTGATAAAGATCTCACAAAACTTGTTTTTTAAGATAATTAACTACTCAAGTTGTGTTAGTTTTTTCGGTTTGATTTTTCATTTTTACCAGAAGCAATTTATGTATATCATTGAAAATGGATGGATTGAATTGGAATAAAAAAAGGATCATTTTGGGAAAAATGGTAGCCTGAAATTGGTTGCTAAAACGGAAGCGGGGCATTATCTCCTCCGCCTACACTCAATTCAGGGTTTTCAGAGGTCAATTTTTTTCAAAAAATTACGTTTTGGGGTCCCGCTTCGTTAAGCTGTACAATATACTTCGTTTAACTTGAACAGCAGTAATACTTACAAGACCTATGCATCTAGAATGACAGTAAAAATAATTCATTCTCATTTCCTGTATCTAGCATGGCATTAATCATTTTAGGACCCCCCCCCCCCCCTAAATTGTCACCATATAAGGTATGTTTGTTTCAGTACGCGGGATTGCACCCCCTCAGCTGTCCCAAGCAGTCCGTCTGTCCCGCGGCGTCCATGGGGGCCACAAGGTGCACCAATGTGGTAGAGTCTGCAAACTCACACACACAGGTCAGATTTTCCATCTTCAATCTTCATTTTCCAACTGCCTTCTTTCATCTTACATCCAAAGTAGTTTTAGATCAAATCACCCCTTCGAAAAATCAAGATATGATTGTCCACCTCAGCATTTAAAATTGTGTGTACTTACAGAACATTGCGTGGTGTCAAGTGCTCGATTCTGATTGGCTGAAGATTTTTCAATTTAGCATCAGTTAAGATATTTTTTCAGGGAGTTCATATTGTTTGCGCTTATTTTGATTGATATGCTGAGTTCTGTTACTGTAGAAAGGAAATAATTTCTGATGCTTAAAAGTATCCGGTCAATTCAGAAGGTTTTGATTGTTTTTGATCATCCCCTTCGCTTGAAACTTGATTTTGGAAAAATAATTCGAAACAAATTTGTTTTCGCGAAGTATTAGGCAAAAACAAAATTGGAAAAGGAGTTCTGAGTTATATATATATATGTTACTTATGAAATTTTAGAAAACTAAAAAACTAAATACGATTTCATTTTATAAAAAAAATTATTTAAATGTCTATATGATAAAAATGATTTTGTACTTGAAAAACATAATGTTGCAGGTTTGTGACAAGACAGCCTGGTACTACATCTTCATCGTCCTCCTAAGCATATGTAAGTACTCTTTTAAAACACGATCATTAGGTAAAGTTCAAAGACAAACAATCTAGTTCGAAAACTTGCTGTTCAAAATCCCAAAACAAAGATAAAACTATTTAACATCAGACGAAAAAAACTATCATCTAGCTTTCTTCCCTTCTGAAACTTTATATTACACAGGATCATATCGTATAGCATGTAGTTCAACGCCAAACCCCCGTTTGCGTTGAACAACAACCCCCCCCCTCCCCCCCCCCCCTCGCCAAACACCCTGTGCTATGATGCCCTGTGATACAATATGAGTTCCAGAAAAATAATGAAACACTTTGTTATTTCAGGTAGTGTATTTCTGTTCGGTTGGCTGGGTGTAGTAGTCGTGCATAGAGTGAAGAGCTCAGCTCGAGTCAGGGCATTCATCGTCCGACACGGCCGGAAAGCGAAACCATCTATGAAGGAACTTGACGCTGTCGAGAACACCGTCATCATTGTGGCAAACCAACCAGTCTATGGAGGATTTTGACCACAGAACCCATAGATTGCACGACAATAACAGATTTTATAGTGTACTTTTTTCAAAAAATTTATGGACGCCATTGTTTCGTCTGCTCAAAATAAAATAGCAGCGAAAACAATAGCAGTTGAATATTTTACCACTTGCTTGTTGCTTCAGTTGCTTGCGGTTTCAATTCTGGTGCCATATTTTTTTGCCCCGTTGCAGAAAAATTTTGCCCATTAGTTTTATGCTCAAAATACAAAAATACAAAATGATTAACCAATAAAAAAAGCCGGCAAAATTTCATGAACGTCATGAGCACGTTAAAAAAATGCTGCTGACTCGCCTGTAGAAAGAACACAAATGATTTTGTAAAGTTTGACCAATAAGATATTTTGAAGATCAAAATGGCGTCCAAAATTTTTACCATATCATAGTTATTTATCATTAAATTCTACAAGCCATACGAATCTCCGAAATCAACAAAATCTTACTTTAGCTTCTGCCAATTCTTCTCAATGATTTACCATAAATTAAACTAGTAGATTAATTTCAAATAGAGCAATGTAAATATTGGAGTAAGTAGTTCCCAACGTTTTTTCTTAAAAAAAACTTGATGGAAAAATTATTTAGACCGAAACAAAGCGAAATCAAGAAAATATACCATTTAACGAACAAACCTTTCTTTCACAAGCTCGATGAAAAAAGCAGCCTTCATATGTCAAGACAGCTGCCATACGTTAACTTATGATACTTTCTATCACCGAATAGGAACGGAATTGGTGAACCGATAAAATTTTTTTTTTCAGAAACGACTGATTGATACCATAAATTCTAACGCTCAATCGTGATCAACAGAATTCCAACACAAATCCAAGTATATATAAATATGATAAACATAATTTAGAGGTTTTCCAATATCAGGTCATCAAATGATATTATTCCCATTGTTCAATTTTTGATTTTATAAAAACCCAAAAAACTTGAGTGATATGAGATAGGGACCAGTTTGAGTTTATGTAAGTTCTATCAACTTGTACCAGTTTGAGTTTTAGTAAGTGCTATCAACTTGTATCTTCTGTCTGGAGACCTGCTGTCGTGACCTTGCGATCTCTAACGTCCGGTATGATCTGAAATAGAACGGTGCAGTAAGATTTCGATTTGATGCCTAACAGTTGCTTACAATTCAAGTTAACAACTATTCTTTTTCTGTTCTACACTTACCACTTCAACATGGCGCAGCCAGCAGATCAAAAAAAGGGGGGGAATCCGCTTAATATAGTATCATTCTGGGATGCACGGACGCCAGAACCCCCTATCTATTGGGAGGAGTGGATCATAAAATTCCACTGGGGTATGATCGCAAAATATGACATTGTTCCTGACGATTTTTATTTTGCGCATACGTTAAATGCGACGGCTATTACAAACTTGCCAGAGGAAGTAAATGGGAAAAATCGTATCGAGTCGGAGAAGAAGTTAAAGTCTAACTTATATCTCTGTATTGGAGACGAAGCACAACGGATATTTAAAGCAAGGAAACCGGCGGTAAACGTTAAAACGGAAAGATACCCACGGGTATTGGACGAAATGCAAAATGTCTTCATGCGTGAACTAAATGTGACACATGAAAGAGGACTCTTCTGTGGGAGGAAGCAGACAGAAAATGAGACTTTTGTGAGATTCCACGCGGAATTAAGCGCTCTTGCGGGCAGATGTGATTTTGCAAATACAGCAGAAAATGTTCGTGAAATTTTTATTATGAATATGCGGTAATCGGATTGCCAACGAGAATTATCAAGATCAACAAAGTAACCCGAAGAAGTTTATAGGATCGCTTTATCGTATGAACGCGGTGAACGTGCCTATAAGTCATACACTGGAAAACCAGCCTCCTCAGCGCCGTCGATAACCATAAAACAGGAGCCAGTTAATAATATCCAAAGGGGACAAAGATTTTTCCGAGGTCGAGGACGCGGGGGACGCGGAGCATACACCCAAGGATCAAGCAGTGGGGGCAGCGGTAATAACCGTAGGTGTTATAATTGCGACGCACCGAATTTTACTCTTGACCATATTGCGAACTGTCCTGCAAAGGGAGCAACATGTAATTCGTGTCGGAAGCTGGGACATTTTGAATGAACATGCAGAGGAATTAGGAGAGGTACTAACCAGTGGAGAGGACGAGGACGAGTCGGATTAGTGAGAGATGAAAATGAGCACCATCAGAGCATGCAAAGTGTTAGTGATGTGGCAGAAGATCCAGTGGCGTGGGTGAACCAGCAAGGAAGCGGGGAAAATGAATCCATGACGTCAGGTTCTGATGATTATATGGTGATGTCAATTAAAAGGCAGAAGAACGTGACAGAACTGAAAATTCCTGGGGCCCGAGTACAGGTTGAGGTGTCAGGAAAAAAAATGTGGTTGTGGATCGATAGCGGATCCCCGGTGACAATTTTCAGCTTGACAGACCTAAAAACAACATTAGGTAAAGCGAATATTCAGTAACAACCTTCGAAAGATGAATTTTTGGATTACAACAACAACCGAATACACATACTTGGGAAGGTAGCGGTGACGATGTCATTAAACGGCTGGGCAGCACCAGCACAGGTGTCAGTAATATCCGAAAATCATCAGTCAATCCTTGGGCGTGATCTGATGGGCACCCTAGGCCTGGAGTTGGTGCAAAAGAAGAAGGTGATGGGAATCACGGGGGAAGGTAGCAGTCAAGAAGAGGAGGAATATGATGAATTGCAAACTTATTTCTGTAAGTTGTACCCAAATTTATTTACCAGGATAGGTAAAATTCAAAACGCTAAGGTAAAAGCCAATTTCTTCGAAAATTTAAATCCAATACAACAAACGGGGCGTAGGGTGCCTATCAGTCTACAAGATAAGGTAGACCAAGAAGTTACTCGGTTGATAAACGAAGGTCACATCACCAAATTACAAGAGTGCTCGGACAAGTATTTTGTCTCTTCTATAGTAATCACTGTGAAAAAAGATGGAAGCATGAAATTGGCCTGAGAATCAAGAGAACTGAATAAACAGGTACACAAGAATAAGTACCAAATGCCAAACATTGACGAATTAGTAGACGGAATAAGTCAGATAATTGCAGAAAGGAAAGCGGGGAACGTGTATTTTACAACGCTGGATTTCACATACGCGTATGGACAAGTTTCTTTAGACCAAAAAACGAGTGGGCAATGTAACTTTTCACTAGTTGGCGGGAAATTGAAAGGAACTTATCGTTTCAAAAACCGGTTTTACGGGCTCACGTCAATGCCAGCGGAACTTCAAAAAGTGATTGATAATTTACTTAAGGCAAATGCTTTCATCGATGATATTCTAATTGCATCTAAAGGAACCAAAGTAGAACATATTGCGTTAGTAGAGAAAATATTAAAAAAGTTGGACGTTTCTAATGTTTTTTTGAAATTACGAAAATGTGAATTTGCAAAAACCGAATGTGAGTGCCTAGGATATCGAATTGGGGAAAGCGGTATCGCGCCGTTAGTCCGGAAAACACAAGCGGTGGAAGATCTGAAAACTCCGAAATCTCGAAAACAATTAAAATTACTAATGGGTTAATTGCACAGTTTGCATAAATTTTTGCCAAAACTTGCGGAAGTGAGCGCACCGTTAAGACCATTACTAAGTCAGAATAACGATTTTGTCTGGACGCCTAATTGCAAAAGGATCTTTCAACAACTAAAAGCACTGGTGAACAACATTGTGGAACTAAGACATTTCGATATTCACTGTGAAACGAGGATTATCTGCGATGCAAGTCATTATGGCCTAAGGGCCGTGCTAGAGCAGTACAGTACCTCCGGGTGGCACCCGATTTCGTTCACTTCACGGTACCTTAATCCGGCCGAGAAAAAATTTTCTACCAAAGAATTAGAACTACTCGCGGTAGTGTGGGCCACTGAACAATTTCGAAACTATATATATGGTCTTTATTTCACAGTTATATCGGACCACAAGGCATTGCTTACATTGTTAAATCTTCCCCAAAGGCAAATAAAACATTTTTTAGCCAAATAACTCGATGGTACGACCGGTTAGTACCTTAAGATTTCCAGGTTGAACATAAACAGGGGTCAAAAATGGGATTGGCTGACTATTTGTCTCGGTTTCCATCCGCAGAGGCACCCGTGACCAGTCACTATGATGAAAGTTTTACAGTAGCGAAAATAAAAATGATAAACGAAGCATTGAAACTTAAGGATCAAATGAAGCCTAGGGGTCAGGAAGTGAATAACATTAGGCCAAAACCGACGGTAGAGGGCGAGCGGTCATGTTTCGAAATAACAAAAACAGTTGTATCCAATGGGAATAAAAGAAAGGCTGAATATGCAAATATTCACCGTGAGCTCACGCGCTCACTAGAGGGCGTGTCTACATGCAACCGGCGGTTAACCAATCAGAATCGAGATATTTGCATACCGGCAGAAATATGCAAATATCGAAGTGAGAAAATCAGACGTTGTTCTCAGTACGTAAATTCAAGTTGTACTCTCGAAAATAGAAATTTACTCAATATGTCATCAATCAACTCTACTGAAAAAAGCGACCCACGAACATCCGCTGTTGTTAATACTTCAACCCATTCCGGAGATGTAAACCTTAATGTTGTTCTGAATCGATTAAACCAACCACCTAGTGTAAGTTCTGACTCTGATATTGAATTAATACCACCGGAAAAAGTTGTTCCAAAACAAACAAATTCGAAAAACTTAAATACTTTTATTTCACTTCCCCATCAGTTTCCTGGATTATCCTACCCACTCGTGCAGAATGATAATTGGATTTACTCGATAGTACCTACCGACAGTAAAGTAGTTAGAAAGATTGATTACCCCGAGATCCTGAGTTTGAAAATAGTCGAAGCCAATCTGGAAATGGACCCGATTCTGAAAACGATCCGCGATGCAATCAGAGATAGGAAACCTAAGGCAAGGAGATCATCACAAGAATAGGACAATATTACGCCCAACACTACAATGACTTTGCCGTATGTGAAAATTGCCTGTGGATGGATCGCCGGCTGGCCATACCGAAGGATATGTCGTCATCAGTACTCAATCGTTTGCACTTTAACCACCACGGATGCGATAAAATGTTTGCAGCTGCAAAGGATGTATGAATACCATTAATGCACAAAAAGATTGCCGCTACAGCGAAGTACTGTAAAGGTTGCGTAGAAGCAGTTAAAAATCTTAAACCAGATATTCCAAAAAGTGATATGGGGGACACGTATGTGCCTAAGGAACCTAATGACTTGGTTCAATTAGATTTCTGGGGTCCGGTCAATTATGTAAGGGGTAGAAAAAATTATGTACTAGTAGCAGTGGATACTTTTTCGCATTGGCCGTCGGCTTATGTCTGTTCAAGTAACAAGTCTAAAAATGTATTAAAGTTCCCAAGGAAGTACATCAATACTCATGGGCACCCAAGAAAACTGCATATGGATCAGGCAACCGGATTTTTTCGAAGGAAATTCAAAAATTCTGTAATTATGAAGGCATTGAACTCGTAAAACCTCCGGTTAAGGACCATCGCGCAACGGGATTGGTTGAACGGACAATTGGGTCGATAAAAAATTACGTTCTCACATATCTTCAAGAAAATAGCAACTATAAGTTTGGGTTAATGATATCTCGTGCGCTAAGTGCGTTCCGTTTTGTGCCCCATTCTAAGACTAAGCAAACGCCATTTGAGGCTTATCATGGAAAAGAAGCGACTACGGCTGTACGAAATTTGCCGAAAAAACAATCATTGAATTACCTCAATTGGAATAATGTTATTAACCACAAGTTATCTTGTTTAGACAAGGCGAGTATTCTTCCTAATGTGGAGTTAACCCTAGATTGGGAGAAGCGGAGCGACCTGGTATACGCCCCTGAAAATAGAAAAACCCCAAGGGTTTTGGATGAGCAGGAGTTAATCGAAACGGACGCACCCAAGGCAACAGAAATAGTAGACCCCAAGGCAGCTCAAGTGTTACCCGAGGCACCAGCATGGCTCAACAGACATAGAACTAGTACTACAACAGTATATCAAAAGACGGGGAAAACAGACCCCAAGGACCCGAGAAGGTTGAAAAATTGACTAAACACACAGTACAAATGGAAAAAGGGTCGTTATTAAGGCGAAGTGGTGTTTCATTTAGGTCGGCGGCTGAAGAAAGCCGAATTGTGAATAGAAGTGACGCGTGCACCCCAGGTCCTAGTTCGAGTTCAACGAGCACCCCGGGTCCAAGTAAGCCCACAAAGCCTAAAAGAAAAGCCGATAAAGAGCAATTAGAAATAAAAAATCAGCGAAAAAACCGAAAAACAAGCAAATCGTTGAGTATAGCGAAGATGAAGATATGGGGCGAGCGAAAAAACTAAATAAGCGACGAATAGTCGAGTACAGCGAGGACGAAAGCGACGAGGAGGGGATAGCGATTGGGCAGTCGAAACGAAAGATACGGCAAAAATTGCAGCGGACGGAGAAAACGAACCGTCGGCAACGGACAAGAAGCGAACACCGAAAACCGTCGGTGTTAAACGGAAACAAAGCGAGGAGGCAACGAGAAAATCGACGCGACAACGGAGAGGAGTCGACAAAATGGGGGGAGTAATGATTCACCGAATAGAACATAAGTAAATGATGACGAAGAAAAACCTTAAGGAGAGGTTTGGCAAGTATGCCTGAAAACTAAATGTAAACTAAAACTGAATTACTAAAACTGTACCTAAGTATGAGTTAAATTTTACATCTACGATTTAAAATTTATTTGTGGTTGCCCGAATGAGATAGGGACCAGTTTGAGTTTATGTAAGTGCTATCAATTTGTACCAGTTTGAGTTTATGTAAGTGCTATCAACTTGTATCTTCTGTCTGGAGACCTGCTGTCGTGACCTTGCGATCTCTAACGTCCGGTATGATCAGAAATAGAACGGTGCAGTAAGATTTCGATTTGATGCCTAACAGTTGCTTACAGTTCAAGTTAACAACTATTCTTTTTCTATTCTACACTTACCACTTCAACAGATAATCAGTTTCTGGGTCCCCTTATTTTGTTTCTGGTGTTCGATTTGTTCTTCATGATTCTTTGCGTTACCTCTGTTGAAACGTTTTTTGCTACTTTTTATGCCGTCTATATTCTAGTTTTGTTGGTTGTCTTTTTTTTGCTTCGAGTTTTGTTTTCTCTTTCGTTCGTTTCTGTTATCTTCTTACCTTCATCTTCGCTTCATGTGTATTCTTCTTTGATCTTTGTATTTTCTGTATCTACTACGATTAGTAGTTACTCCCTGTTTGGGCTGCTGACTGCTGACACCAGTTCGATAACGTCTAGTTTCCTGTTTTGATATTTTAATTGTTTTGCCTCGACAAAATTCATAGATACCTGGAATTCTCCAATTTCTCATTTAATATAATTTCGTGAATGATGCTTTTTATATTTGATTTCTCCCCTGCTTTGTCTGGGTGATTCCTTTCGAATGTTTTCTTTTTCAGCTTTTTGATCTCCTTTTTCTCTATGGCATTGATTGGAACTGAGTTGCCGACTACCCCCGCTGAAGCTTATAGTCAGGTTCTCAGCAATTTTCTTCTAATAGCAACTGCCATTTGTAGTGGTGTCTTTTTTATGTCCACGCGTTTTGCCGATGTTGCGGTTTTTCTGAATGGGTCAATGAGTCGTTGCTTGATGATGATGATGGCTCAGACCCTTGATGTTGTCTTCTCAGCAATTTCTGATGAAATTTTGGGTACTAGGCTGGCTAGTTTGAACTGAATTCCTCTCCTCGCCGTCATTCTGACTGGTGGCTTATCTACAGTTCTTTTCCCTGTCTGTAGTATTGTTTTTCTCTTTGACATTTTCTGTAACTCTTTATGCTCTTATCGTGCGGCTGTTTGAGCAGGCTTGGCATTGACTTTTTGGGTGCGTTCAAGTACTCGATGTGTGAAAACGTGAAAATGGTCCTGTTCTTCTTGCAGATTAATACGCAACATAGCCTTGAAGATCTGAATGGTCGCTGGAGTTCTGGGTTGGGAACAAAAGCAAATCCGCTGGTGCACATATAGATCGAGCAGTGATCATAGGTGTGTCGGATGGATGCTATCAAGAATGTTTGGGTATACTTTTGTGTGCATTGTGTGGAGGAGTTTATCTTTTTGTCGACCAATAAGTACCGTACAAGCATTTGAGAGCCTCCGAAATTCATTTTCTGACAAAATTCACCTTTTTTGCGATCTCTTCTGATGACTAATGCAAAAACTTCATTTCAAAGGGGCTTTTTGCAGAGTTTTTCGATTGAGTAACCTCCTCAATTTCCGTTTTAGTGCTTCTCTCAACTCTGGTATTTTTGTTGTCGATGATCATTTTGTGGGTGAACCCGAGTTATTGTTGAAAAAGTTTCGTCATCAAGAGTGATTCTTTTTTGGTGGGGTTCCCTTCATTTTGTTTTAGGTCAGTTTCAACCGGCCCTCACAATATTAATAAAAATGGTATGCTTCAGTTGTCTTCTGTCTGCGTTCCGAACACTCTCTTTTTGTGTTCCGCCTCTATCTGTATCTCTAATTAGTAATTTTTATGTTCTTTTTCTATTTGGGTTTTCGTTTTTTCCTGTTTGTTTCGTTGATGCTGGTTTGGGTCACTAATTCAGTGTTTCCAGTGAACACTATTAATGGGACTAATAGTCTGCTCAGAACCATTAGTATTGCTTTTCAATTTCCGTGCGGAATGCACTTGTGTTTATGTGTTGTATCGGTGTTGCGATGACCGTGCTAGACGAAAATCAATTCTCTTAGATGGCTGTGGTAGTGTTTCTTCCATGCCTCTTTTCTTCTTCTCAAAAACTGATCAGTTCAAATTAATTTAGCAAAATATTTGTTCATGATATGTTTGACCGTTTTCTATATGTCCCAAACTATTGGGATTCACTTGATTTGTCAATTGCACAGTAAGCATTCTTTCGTTTTCCGCGCAAATTTTGATGAGTTGATTTGGTGCGCGATTCTCAATTACTAAGCTATTGAAGGGCTAGTGCCAATTCAACTGGGTCTCGCTCGCGACATATAGTCAATATGTCCTATTTTTGATCCCGCCAAATGATTGACACCAACATTTAAAGGGATTCGTTTGTCTATACATCTTGTGAACCAAAACCGTTTGGTTTTTGATCTTGCGTATAATGCACTGATTAAAACCTGATGGTCTCTGATGAAGGTAAAAAATTTTCCGTACAAACAGCATTTGAAGTGCTTAATTTTGAACACCACTCACACTGTGTCAAGATCATTTATCGAGTTTTTTTCTTCCAATGAGTTCAAAAATCTAGATTCATAAGCAATGGTTATTGAACCTTCCTCGGTGAACTGATCTAGGGTCGCCGCTAACTCAATTAGTGCTGCATTGCAGATCACCCGGGTCTTGAGGCTCTGATCAAATTGATTTTGTTTCTGTTTTTCAGATACTAATTTTTTAACGTTTTTAAATGCGATGATATGTTCAGATTCACAATCTAATGAGTTTTTGTCTGTGTATTTTGAAAAAGATCACAAGTGGGCTGTTGTTTGAGCAAAATGTGAAATTCACCTTCTTAAGCTGAATTGAACCAATCAAAAACTTAATTAGTTGAAAGTTTTTGAGGATTTCAAACTTCCATTTGTCATTTGATAATGTTAGGTTTTTAAATCTCTTTGGATTCCAATGCTTGTTTCACTTTTTGGTCCTTAAATGTGTGAATACAATTAAAATTATGAAATGTTTTCTTTTGGAATTTTCTACTCTCGATCGATTAGTTGGCTTCGATCTGTTTCTACTTGATCTTTAAGATGTATTGATTTAAGTCTACACATCTGTTGTAATGGAAATTTTTCTCCGCATCACGTGATTTTTTCCAAATTGGACTTGCAGTTGGTTGAAACTTTTTTTTTGATTCCTTGCTTGATAAGTGGGTATGAGGTTTCAATGTATTTATTATATATTGTGTTTGGTTTTGTTTTGATTTGTTTTGTACCAATTTGGTACAAATACTTGGTGAAATTTTTTCTTTTTTTTGTATTTTGGGCCATTTTGTGGGTGTCAAGAAATAGAAAGCAATGAAAATTTAATATTTATTATTCCTATTTACCTAGAAAAAAAATTAGAACAGAAAAAAATGTGCTTACAATGCAAAACTTTTTGAACTGCCTTGGCAACGAAAAAGAATTTCAGAAACTGAAGTTGAAATAAGTATTTTGCGTCTCAATTAAAATATTTTTTTCTTATTCCATTTTCTGCTTGCTCGCTATACTTGCTCAAGTTAGGCTAAAAACCAAAAAATTCAAACCGGTGTTCTCAACATGGATAATACTTCAATATTTCAATTTCATTTAAACCGATAGCCCGTTCTGATAATTATCCTTGTTTTCTGATTTTGTTTGGAAAAAAATTAAGAAATCAAAAAAGTTAAGAACCGCAAAAACATTTCCTTCTTACGTTCAAGGATGGGAGTAACAAGTCTTCTGGTTTCCAGGCCCTGAAATGCTATTTTTTTCGCCTATTTTTTAGCATGATTTGATTCTCTTCTGTTTAATTTTTGATCTCGTTGATTTTAATGTTTCCTCAAAGTTTGCTGAGAAATAAAAAAACTTCAATAACGGTAAACGCTTATTATAAATTGTGTCTTCTAAAGTGGAAGCAAAGCAGATTTCAATTTTTACTGCATGTTAAAAACAAAAGTAAGAATCATGAATTTTCGGTTCACTGGAAAAATTCTAATCGCATAACTTCCATGCATGAAAAGTGTTGATCTCAGATCAAAAGTGCTTTTTTATACTTATGAAATAGCATGAAAATTTTGATTCGTAGAAGTCAATCTTAAAGTAAAACTGAAAACGGTCACATTTCTCAGAAGTCTGGAAAATCATTAGCCAAAATTGACCCTAAAATGTCGTGTTATCTAACATTTGGCTTAAATTTTTACAATAATCATAAAAAGTCTGTTTTCAGTGTTTTCACTGCCGAAAACAATTCTAAGAATTAACAAAACTTCAAATGGCTTACAAGATTTTACAAAAAAGTTTTTTTCTATCATTGTCGATCTAGTAATCAAACAGTTTATTTTTTGATTGCAAAAACTAAATTTTTATAAGTTTTGGTTTAAATACCTTAGATGAATTTTGTCTTTATTTGGAAAAAACATGGAATTTTTCTGTATATTCTACTTTGAAACAAGTTGAAATGATCTATGCTCTTGTTTTTGGCCTGAATTAATTTTTTTTAATATTTA